TCCCTGAAAGCTTTCACTAGGAAATAAAAGGTACCCTACATTGCCCACAGAATTTCTCTTCTTCGCTTTGGATTTTACATTCTGGTTGTTGTTTTTTTCCAACTAAAATAAATCAGTGGGTGACAATCTTAGTTTTAATTCAGCAACGGGACATCGGTAGCTTAGTAACTATTACGGTCTCATCTTAGAATTCTAACTTTTTATAGCGCATTTCGCTTCTGACAAGCAAGACTTTGAAACGCCCTGAAAGTATTTCGAACGTATCGAAGAGACCTGCCAATCACTTAACCTACATTCAACTTTTGCAGCTCTTGCAGTGGTTTAATAGTTTGTGTCAACACCAAATGAATAAATGAATGGGCAGAATATGCATGTCTGTAGCAAGGACAACTGCCTGTCCTGGACCTCATTTCATTGTTCAAGCGTGAGAGCAGGCAACTGACCCAGGATCTTATACTCCCAGTTACAATGCTGAAACCTAGGAAAATCTGTGTGGCTATTTATTTCTGCCCCAACCCTCTCTCTTCTTTTTTTTTGTCCTCTTGGAATTTGGAAAACATCTTGACCGATACATTTAACTTAAATAAGTGGTGTCCAGTGACACTTTATATTTCCATTAAATTGCATTAAATTCTACTACGAACAATGCTAGATTTAAAAAAAAAAAAGAATTAATTACCTGAAGTGCTGAACATAATTGCTTATATTTCAGGATTCGTGTACGCATAGCCTGCATTTAGAGTTTTGCTTAAATGTTTTATATCTTGTTAATAAGTATGTTTATATGGACTGTGAATTCTTTTGTTAAGTACCTGATAAAAGTTAAATCAGTAGACGTGTTGTTTTTTTAGTGTACTGCTGGTGTGGCTAAACATTAGCAGCCATAATCTGTAATCCTTGCAGCTGGGACAGGTTTGTGTGCATTTGATTAAAGTAAAATCAATGCTTCCCAATATCTATTAAATTATGGCAGTTTTCCTTATGTTAATTACTACGTGAGAGATTGCTTTCAGGCGCTCCTCTCCTTTTCTCTAATTATTAGATATCAGTTAATGATCTATTTAGAATTCAGTTGTTGAAAGCAAAGCCTATAATTTCTATTTCACACGTTAGCTGGGTATTATTTTTGTTGTGTCTACAGAATCCCTGTTCCTCTTTAAAAAAAAAAATCCAGAAAAAAAGAGCCTTGTTAAAACATTGCTTTATGCACTGTAACGTGGCATAGTTATCAAAACATTAATCATAGGAGGTTAATTTAATTTACGTATAATTTTGCAAACATTCAGATGGTTGATGAGTATTTTGCACAGTCAATTGTGAACCTTCAGATACGAAAAACTTTTGAACAGTCTTGCTGAGAAAGGCATTAAATTCAAATATTATTTTGGGATATATATATGTATATTTTTATTCGTAGGTAATTAGAATTAATCTGTTGATTTAACATCTATAAGGATGGGAATAATTTTTTAAGAAAAAAGGAATCATGTGCTCAGTTACCTATAAAAGTTAAATAGATAATCATTGTCTTCATTGTTATCTTTTTTTCTATGACGAAAAGTTTATGTTGTTGCTGTTGTGAACACACTTGGTTAGCAAATATTAGTGATTCCAGTCCTTCAGATTGGAAGTACAGTTGGGAAAAATGTTCCTTATGAATGATTTAATCAAGAAGGTATATTTCAAATTCAGATGGAATCAAGCACAGAGATAATGTGGAACCAAAATAATCTATGTAAAACATTGTGTCAGAGACAGATATCATGAAGGATTTGACCTTAATCAGAATTGATTTAAAGCCATTTTTTTTTAATTATAGGATGGAGATTCTTCACAGGTTTATTATCTCGTCTGCCATTAAAATTTCTCCCATTTTTTAAAACATTATTGATTCAAGAAAAGATGCCTTTGAATCCATTAAAACTGATTTGATGTTTAAACTCTGTCCTTCAGATATGGTTTGCATTTGTCAACGGATTTTCTGGACAGATCCTGTTTGAAAGATGGTGCATAGGGCTTTATAATGTGGTAAGTTTTTACAATTCATTTCTTTGACAATGCTAACGGTTAAAATACGTTGAACGTTCATTACAAATTTTTGTCGCTGTATTTGGTTTTGCGCATTAGATGTTTACGGCTCTGCCCCCCTTGACGCTCGGAATATTTGAGAGATCCTGTCAGAAAGAAAATATGCTAAAATATCCTGAATTATACAAGACTTCCCAAAACGCCCTGGATTTCAATTCAAAGGTAGTTGGAAATCACTTGTAATTATTTCACCTACACCTGTCTGAGTCTATTTTGCAGCAATGTGATTAACATCATTTAAATACAAGTTTGATGATGATGATGATGATGGTCCCCTATATCTCAGTAAGCTCCAGTAACGATAAAATCCAATCCTGTTTTTTGAGCTAGCTAGTTTATCCAGAGAAAAGCTGTTCATGAATATGCATAAATTTTTCAGAGGAGGATTTAATGCGATTTAATTTTCAGAGGAGGATTTAATGAGGACCTCCAGCAAACAAATCAATCATTCATGTGTATGGAAGTGGGGTTTTTTTTGTTTTTTTTTGCTTGTTTGTTGAGACTTTTGGGGGTTCACGCGAACCGTGAATTTTTCATATTACGAGTAAATAAATAATAAATAATTTTCAAATTATTTATCCTGGTCCTTTAAAAAAACTTTTTAAAAAGCAGCATGGATAATAGATACACAATTTCCAAGGAGTGATGTACTAGTTAGAGTTTTCAGGGTAATTATAATCTGAAATCTGAACCCGAGAGTGTATATTTTGCCAGTTAAATTATGTAGCCCAGTTAGTATATTTTTTTGTATCATACATAACACACACATTTTGCCAATTAAATTATGTAGCCCAGTTAGTATAATTTTTTTGTATCATAACACACACAACCAAGTGAAATCTCGACTGCAGGTTCTTAGCTGGTGGTGGACCTTCGTTTCCATTGTTGTTATATTGTTTTTCTGTATATAGTTCTCTTCATTAGGTATAAGTAAACAACACAAATACATGTAAAACACTTAAATATGGACTAATGTTGGTGATTTTATTAACACCGAATTAATTGACACCAAATTAATTAAGAGAATAATTATACAGGTCATGTTTTAAACTAATGTGGCTGATGTTTTATTTGCTTCTATTTCAATACCTCTTATTTATAGCACTTTGAAACTTTAAATAGCTCAAATGTCCTGAGTTTCTTAAATGCTTCTTACATTTTTTTTTTTACATTCCTTTTTTTATTAAATACAAAATACAGTATAAATAATTGTGTAGACCAGATAGATCCAAACAAAATTCAGCAATTTACTCTGATAGGCTTCCTGCCACAATTTTTGCATCGTCTTTCATTAATACATGTAATTATTTTTGAAAAAGTTCAGTGAATGCAAGTGAAGTTATGATATTTGTGCAGTGTCCTTTTTTAGTTTTGTTTTGCACAATTGTGAATGTGGTCAAATTCCATGAATTTGTAGATGTTTTCATTATATTTTATAGTTTAGAAACTGATCTGGCCTGTACCTTATATTGTTTTTCATTTTAAATAGGTTTTACAATTTCAAATGGTCTGTAAAGAGAGATGTTTTTGGTTCGATGTGTGGAAGTTTTAGAATTTTTATTGCCCTAAATTATAATGCACAGGTTCATTGCGATCAAAAAGGTCAAAGTTCAGGGGCCATGAAGAGAGGTTAAAGGATTAACATGGGACAATAAGTATTCACCATAAAAATGAAAAAGCCATCCTAATTTTCTCAGCTTTTTCTCAAACAATATTCTTTTGTCAATGACACAGCAAGGAGAGGTTAATGAGTAACACCAAAGTTCAAATATGCAAAGTATTGTGGCATAAATTGGATCATACAACCTTAGCCAGTTAGATGATATTACAAAGATGTTACAAGCAGGGTAGAAAATTTTTTGAGGCAGAGAACATAATTCTGTTCTTTGAACAATTTCAAGCGACTAATAGCACAATAAAGATTGTGACTTGTGAAAAGCATGTTACACGGTACGACAAAACAACTTTCCTTTGACAGAAATGGCAAAATGTTTTTTTTTCTTACTTACTCTTGAAATGACCCTGTCCATACATAAATACAGAAAAACACATAGACTTCTTGTACTTTTTTGATACAATTTTTTGATACAATTGTATTATAATTTGTAACATGTATTATATTTGTAACATGTTAATCATGGAAATGGTATAAACCAAAAACACTTCCTGTGCACAATTAATTGGCTTAATATGGATACTTGTAATTAGCAACTATTGTTTTTCATTTGTTTTTGGCTTTACTATAAAAGACATTTATTTACAAATACATCCACGCACACACATATATTTGTAGGAAAGGCATACCACAACACTGATCTCCAGGACAAAAAGTTTTATTAAAATACTTTTAAAATACATGTGTGTGTGTGCGTGTATGTATGTGTGTGTGTGTGTGAGTGTGTATACACACACACATGTATGTATATAATATAAATTTATATTTATATATTATATATATAATATACAATATATATATATATATAAAGAGTCAAAATTCACAGAGTTACTTTTATCACAGTGACTCTCACCATTGTATGTTTTCGCTTAGGTTTTCTGGATCCATTGTTTAAATGGCCTCTTTCATTCAGTAATTCTCTTTTGGTTTCCACTAAAAGCCATCCAGTATGGTAAGTAAATATTTTTTTAAAAAATAAAAATAACTGCATTCATACTAGAAATGTACAAATTTGTTTGTTTGTTCGGTTAACAAATCCATACGGTCACTCATTAGCCCGACGGAATCATCCAAATAATGGGAAGATTATATTTCCGAAACATAAAACTGAATCCATAAATGTTCAGGTGGTGGTCGCCCATGCGCACACAATGCTCTCCTTCCTGTCTTGAAATAGCGACCCTGCAGCCTTGGGATGGGAAACTGAGGGGAAAGACATCGGATGTTTTTGCATTGACAACAGATAGAAATGAAGCCGTTTTTTACCTTTCGCTTTTAGAGTTAGATGATGCTGGGAGGGGGGAATATGAACGAGAGTCCGGCTAGACATAACAACACTAAACTTAGTGTGAGAATCAAGGTTATTGTAACCAGAGCTGATAAAGAATTAGAGAGCTGGAGAGGAAGCCAGCGCTTCAAACTAACTGGGGAATGTGATTTGTGACTGTTAATTGGAGGAGGGAATTGTGCTTTGATACTATGTGCCCAGGGGAGGGGAATTCAGTTTTTAGCTTCGATTATGTAAGTGCCGATATGCTACTCGAATAAAAGATCCTTTAAGGTAAACAATGCCTTGAAGTTCTTTTGAAGAGTTTCATCTGACGGAACCATGACACCTAATCTCTTAGTTAGTGTTGGCAATGTTATTATTTTACAGATACTGTGTTTGCCAGCGGTAGAACTTCGGACTACTTGCTTTTGGGAAATGCCGTATATACGGTAAGTTCTCCTCATATCAATCCAGCTGATATCTTAAACCGGAAGGAGCAGTGTATGCTGCAGTGACCTCACTGAGTAGTAGTAGTAGTAGTAGTAATAATAATTGACAAATTCGCTATTAGTCAATTGCAAAAGGCGGCCTTACTAGGAACTGCTTCCATCCTGCGACAATATCTGTAATACCATCAAACATCCACATCTGCCTATCCCAGGTCCTTGGGAAGGACTCGATAGGTAGGCAAAATGCCAAATCCAGTCTGAACATCTGGCTGACTGTGCGATGATCCATAATAATAATAATAATAAAGTTGGAAGGGACCTTGGAGGTCACTTAAGAGCCCTGGTGGCGCAGTGGTTAGAACGCAGCATTGCAAGCTAATTCTGCCCACCGCCAGGAGTTCGATCCTCAAGACTGACTCAGTCTTCCATCCTTTTGAGGTTGGTAAAATGAGGATCCAGATTGTTGGGGGGGGGCAATAGGATGATTCTGTAAACTGCTTAGAGAGGGACTGTAAAACAGGGGTCCCCAACCCTCAGGCTGTGGACCAGTACCACTCCGTGGCCCGTTAGGAACTGGGTTGCAAAGCTTCATCTGCACATGTGTGGGGCTAGGTAACGTGTGAAACCACACACCCCTGTCCCGTGGTGCCCAAGAGGCTGGGGGACATTGCTGTAAAGCACTATGAAGCGGTATATAAGTCTAAGTGCGATTGCTTTTGCTAGCTACAACCAAAGGCCAAGTCACCTGGTGTCATTTTTATATAAAAGCAATCCTCTGTTGATCATCTACTTTCAGACTTGGGATAATCATCGTTTTGTTTTTCCATTAATGTCTTCATATAAGCAAAGTCTCTTGGTGTTGTGCCCCAGAGGACATATGGACAATTCCTGGGTTGAGTTTGTGTGTTTTCCTCAGTCAATCCTTTGCAAAATGCACTCACACAGAGATGCACACTCACTCACTCCTAAGCTCCAGAATATAAGTAACTTGCGGGCACTCAACCCCTATCTGAATGCAGAAGCAAGATAACAAGTTTCTCAAATTATGTATGTACAGATGTTAGAAGGTTAAACATTTCCTTGATTACAAAATCACGTATTTCAATCTGAGTTAAACGTTAACCTGGTCAGGAAAAGTAACATCTCTCCTCTTTTGTTTTTTAGTTTGTGGTCATAACTGTGTGCTTAAAAGCTGGATTGGAGACTTCATATTGGACTTTGGTAAGATATCTTTAAAATATTACAACGCAATAAATGATAGCAGTTCATTTCTATTTAGGCAATGTACAGACACTTTTAATTACTGGTGGATTTGGGGGGGGATTCAGATACAGTCTTAAAAAATATTCATTTACTAACTGAGTTTCTTTCTTTCTTTTCCAGTTTAGTCATATAGCTATATGGGGCAGCATTGTGCTCTGGATAGTATTTTTTGGCGTCTATTCTTCTTTGTGGCCAGTCATTCCGATGGCACCGGACATGTCAGGGGAGGTAATATTTCTTTTAATTAACATAAACTTTTTGAAAACACGTGTTATAATTTTTATTTCAAGCAGGAGGCGATTTAAAACATGTTTGTAATCTTCTCAACAGTTTAGCAGTTCTCCCAAACATGGTAATTTGACACGCCAGCATTAAAAAAAAGTTTCAGAAAAGCATTTAAACAGAAACCTGAAGATTCACCTCTAGGGAATGATGATGATAAAAAAATATATTTTAGGATGTTCAAATAAGAAAACAGTAAAAAAAATAAACCAGGAGCAAGTAATGGTAAAGATAGTGGGCCAAAAAAAAGGTGAAAAAAGATACGTAAAAATGTGTTTGCCAGAAATATGTAAATTGCCTTGGTAAAAGAGGAAAGCATCCTCTCAATAAAACCCACCTTCCAGTTTATTTAAAAATTTAAAAATCTGCAATGCAAAAAAGGAAAAGTCCAACTGCTCCAGTAGCTGCCTATTTAAAACAGGATCATTTTAATGAGTTTATGAAAACTAGTTCTATGGGGGCTAAAAGCACGTCGAGGTGTAAGCGGTTCCCTAAGATCGGGACCGTCATTGAGGTTTGCTTCAGGGGGCCCATCCTCTTGACGTCTGATTGAGTAGACATACTAAGAGAGTATCTCTAACCTGGGAGATGATAAGTTCTGGTCCTGCTTTAGCCATGAAAGCCATCTGGGTGACTTTGGGCCATTCACCAGGAGATGGTGAGTTCTAGTCCTGCCTTAGCCATGAAAGCTATCTGGGTGACTTTGGGCCAATCACCAGGAGACGATGAGTTCTAGTTCTTCCTTAGCCATGAAAGCCATCTGGGTGACTTTGGGCCAATCACCAGGAGACGGTGAGTTCTAGTCCTGCCTTAAGTATGAAAGCCATCTGGGTGACTTTGGGCCAATCACCAGGAGACAATGAGTTCTAGTTCTTCCTTAGCCATGAAAGCCATCTGGGTGACTTTGGGCCAATCACCAGGAGACGGTGAGTTCTAGTCCTGCCTTAAGTATGAAAGCCATCTGGGTGACTTTGGGCCATTCACCAGGAGACGATGAGTTCTAGTTCTTCCTTAGCCATGAAAGCCATCTGGGTGACTTTGGGCCAGTCGCCAGGAGACGGTGAGTTCTAGTTCTGCCTTAGCCATGAAGCCCATCTGAGTGACTTTGGCCCACTCACCAGGAGACGGTGAGTTCTAGTCCTGCCTTAGCCATGAAAGCCATCTGGGTGACTTTGGGCCAGTCGCCAGGAGACGGTGAGTTCTAGTCCTGCCTTAGCCATGAAGCCCATCTGAGTGACTTCGGCCCACTCACCAGGAGACGGTGAGTTCTAGTCCTGCCTTAGCCATGAAAGGCAGCTGGCACTCTCTCAGCCCAACCAACCTCACAGGGTTATTGTGGGGAAAATAGGAGGAAGAAGCATTCTACATGCTCGCCATCTCGAGGATAAATATCTAATCGGCGAATAAGGCAGCCCAGCTTGGTGAAGCGGTGAAAGCCACCGATCCAAATGCGTCTTGCCTGTTTCTGAAAATCGCTTTTTTAACCGACCAGGAATGAAGAGGGACGCTTTCACCCGCGGACGCGGGAACAGGTTCTAACCCCGTTCGGCGCCACGGGGGCCGATTCGCTGGCGATTTTGTATTATTTTCTCCCTTACGTCTTTTGAGCAGGTTGCGCTCGATTTCCCAAGGCCGAAAGGGGCCGGGAGGGGGGGGCAGGAGACTTGGCACCGGGGAGCCCCCCCCCGCCCCCCCCCCGGCGAATTTGTAAATCGCGAAAAGGCAGCAGACGGGAGTCCGGCCCAGAACAGGCCCCCTCCCTCTTAGCGCCATTGTCTGCCCTGGATCCCTTTTGCCGTTTCCCAGCTGACCCGTCTGCGGGCAGAGAGATGTGAAAAGTTAGGGACAAAATGGTGCTGCTGAGCCCACACACACACACACACACACACACACTCACACAGACAGAAAGGAAGGAAATACCTCCGTGGGATTGTGCCTTTTCTCCCTCTTCACCCAAAACGGTACAAAGGAGCTTTCTGTGTTTAATGTGAATGTCAGCTTTAAATCTTTGAGTTTTGGATTAACTCTGCAAAAGGGAGGGGGAGAGAGGGGGGAAAAAAAAATCTGACAGGCTTTCAAATATGATGCAGGAAAACCTTGGTGGTTTTTTCCTTCTCCTAACACACACACACACACCCTTTTCAATTCAGGTCTGCCCATTTGTAAAGCCAAAGGCTGGGTTGAGTGACGGTGGGCGCCCCCGTTGTTCCTTGGTTCGTAGTTAGCATCACAATGCTCAGAATTAACATCCTGAGACCCACATTATCAATTCTGCTGTTTCGCCGAGCAACTTTTTAATACAAGGGGGGCTTAGGCGAGGGAGAATGGCTCTTTTGGAGTTTCCCTAACTTTAAAAAAAAAAAGTCATTAAGAACCTTCTTTTCTTTTTTTAAAGGAATTCTATTTAAATCCCACCCACCCCCCCACCCCTTTAACCCCGGCCATTTTTGGCCTTTATTTTTTTAATTCAGAAATGAGTCCTATTTATCGTTTTAGCCTGCTTCCCCCCCTACACACACACACACACACACACCCCACCCCATTAGAAGCTACATGTCAACTCGGCTTTTCTTTCTTGAGCACTTATGCAACACACTCAGAAAGAGCAACTGGCCTCTTTTTTTTTTTCTTTTTCTGTACGTTATGGATCTAATTCCGCCGAGCCTCGTATTCGTTTCTCCGTGCGCAAAACTTGGATTAAATCCCAGAGCAGTTTCCATCCCACCTGTAAAGTCACTTGTATCCCTACGGTTCCATTTAAATAGTGGCCTGATACGCCAGTTGCGCCCCTTTCTGGATCGTGACGCTCTACGCACGGTCACTCAAGCTCTCGTTGTTTCCCGCCTGGACTATTGCAACGCTCTTACATGGGGCTCCCCTTGAGGTGCACCTGGAGGCTCCAGCTAGTTCAGAATGCGGCTGCGCAGGGGATTTGGGGGGCCTCTAGATACTCCCATGTAACACCTCTCCTGCGCGAGCTGCACTGGCTGCCGGTGGCCTTCCGGGTGCGCTTCAAGGTGTTAGTAACAACCTTTAAAGCGCTCCGTGGCAATGGACCTAGGTATTTGCAAGACCGCCTCCTACCAAATATCTCCCTTCGACCAGTCCGCTCCCACAGAGAGGGCCTCCTTAGGGTGCCGTCGGCCAGTCAATGCCGGCTGGCGACCCCCAGGGGGAGAGCCTTCTCTGTGGCAGCTCCCGCCCTCTGGAATGACCTACCCCCCCAACCTACGTACAGTCGCGGACCTGCGCCTTTTTCGCCGAGCCCTGAAGGCCCATCTATTCCGTGCGGCCGGCCTGGCGTAGTTTGATTATGTTTTAGTGGGGGTTTTGTATGGGTGTGTTTTTAGAGCAGGCCTGTTATTTAATTTGATTTTAGAACAGAAATTTGTGTATATTTATCGTGGTTTTTATTATCGCCTGTTCACCGCCCTGAGTCCCGTAAGGGAGATAGGGCGGTATATAAATTCAATAAATAAATAAATAAATGCCTTGGCAAGGCCACACTTGGAATCCTGCATCCAGTTTTGGTCACCAGGATGTAAAAAAAGATGTTGAGACTCTTCCCTTCTGGGAGAATCGTGCCACGCCAGCCTTTGGTCTTCCATTTCCAGGCAAGGAAACAACCCACCAGTCACAAACGGGCTCTCTCCTTCAGCCAGGAAGAGTCCCTTCGCTTCGCAACCGCTGGAGAAAATAAAATAACATTTTTATAGGCCGGAGCTCAATTTTTTTTAACGGGGGGGTGGGGGGGGTTCGTGCGGCGTTCTGAGCTCGTTGCTTTCCTTGCAGGCATTTCATTAACCAACTAGAACAGAAAAAGGCGTTTGCAGAGTGGAGGAGGAGGAGGACGGTGGGGTCCTTGGTGCTCTCTGAGCTGGGTGGTTTTCTTGCAGACCTTTTATGACCCAACTAGGGAACATCATCAGTGCTAGAAGGGAGTGGGGTGGTTTGTGGAGAGGAGGAGGAGGACGGTGGGGTCCTTGGTGCTCTCTGAGCTGGGTGGTTTTCTTGCCGATGTTTCTTACCCAACTAGGTAACGTCATCAGCGGCAGAAGGGAGTGGGATAGATATACATACACAAACACACACACACCACTTCCTTCTGGCACAGATGAAATTATGAAATGTCTGCAAGAAAACAACCAATTCCAGAAAGCACAAAGGACCCCACAGTTGTCTTTCTTTCTTTCTTTCCTTCCTTCCTTCCTTCCCTCCTCCTCTTCCTCTCCACAAACCCTATTCCTTTCTAGCACTGAGTATGTTCCCTAGTTGGGTAATGAAACGTCTGCAAGAAAAGAACCAAGTTCAGACAGCACCAAGGACCCCCACAGTTCAACCCTGAGTTACAAACATTCTCTTCCATTGGTGCTATTTTTTTTTTCTACATAGGTGATTTATGAAGATCAGCCTTCCACAGATATTTTATTTACCATGATTGCAAATGTTTCATTGTATATGTTTTTTGTTTTTTCAACCTATCTAGGCCGTGATGTTGTTCAGCTCCGGAATCTTCTGGATGGGCTTATTTAGTATTCCAGTGACAGCACTGATATTTGATGTAGCATATAAAGTGTAAGTATGATATAATTAATATATGGCCTACCAAATAATTAATCTGCCCATTTGTTAATTACCTAAAATTACTATGCCATCTTCACAGCTACTCAGGACAAAATCCCATTAGTTCAACAGGATGCATTCCTAAGTCAGTGCATTTAACGATGCAGTATAATTATTGGCATATCTTCCTAATTAAATACAAGCTCAATTAGATTTACACGTGTATGGAGAGTTGATTCCTTAAGTCTACTAAATTATGACCTACTTTTGCAGATTGTTCTTTTGGTTGAGATTACTCTTCAGAGGAGAACAATGTATATGCTGTGTATCACAGTTTTATTATGTGAAAGTAAAAAATGTTACTGTATGAATACAATGCTTCTTTGGAAAATCTTACTCCCCAGTTCCCTAATGGTTAATCTTAAAAAAAATGAATGAATAATCTGAGTTTTCTGTGGGCTGCACCAGTGTAATATATATTCTTTCTCAGATAATATTATTGCGGGGCTGAATTTAACGTTAATCGGGTTACATTTAATTTTACACCCCTATTTGCAGACCGATTAAAAAAAAAAGCCTTAGAATTTTGAAACAAACTAACAAAAAGTTTTTAAAATCTTATTTTAGAGTGAAGAGGGCAGCATTTAAAACCTTAGTAGATGAAGTTCAGGAGTTGGAAGCCAAATCGCAAGATCCGGGCGCTGTTCTACAAGGAAAAAGGTAGAATATGATTATCGGGAATTTTCCCCCAAGCTCGAATATTAGCATTCTGTTTATGTGCTTCAGCCTGATTTAATAATAATAATAATAAAGTTGGAAGGGACCTTGGAGGTCATCTAGTCCAACCCCCTGCTCAGGCAGGAAACCCTATACCATTTCAGACAAATGGCTGTCCAGTCTCTTCTTAAAAACTTCCAGTGTTGGAGCATTCACCGCTTCTGGAGGCAGGTGGTTCCACTGTTTAATTGTTCTCACTGTCAGGAAGTTTCTCCTTAGTTCTAGGTTGCTTCTCTCCTTGGTTAGTTTCCATCCATTGCTTCTTGTCCTGCCTTCAGGCACTTTGGAGAATAGCTTGACTCCCTCTTCTTTGGGGCAGCCCCTGAGATATTGGAATACTTGACCTCATCGCTTGGAGTCTAAAATCAAAGTCATAAAGGCTCTTGAATGAATTTTGCTCATAGAATGGACCAAATATTGCATTCTCTTCCAATTAATTCAATATCCACTTTAACCAACTATGCAGGTAGTTCAGCCTGCTGAGAGGAGCTGGGGCTAGCCTGTAGCCTGTCCTGTTGCATCTTGCCAGTTAAGGGACCTTATTTCTACTCATAGTTCATTACGATACGTATAGTTCAACGGGCCTGGAGGGGAAATAGTTGAATCCCTAATCAGAAGGGAAGGAGCTGTTGGAAACAAAGGACTTCAAAATGGCTGCACACAAGTCTGCATTTGAATATACCTGAAGAATAGCTTCTGCTTGGGAGTAGCCCTTGACCTTGCAAATTTAATTTTTTTTTTGTAAAACTTCAATTCAATCCATTCATTCCTTGTACTATTATTTCTTCTCTACTGTTATTTCCACGTAGTGGTATTCTCTCTCTCTTTTTTTTCTTGGCTTCATCACCCAGAGTAGTTACAGTCACAGTAGAGTAGTTAGAGCAACTATAATATAATATATTACAATATATTATAACATAACAATAATTATATTATAGCTACAGAGTAAATATAATATGTAAGTAATTACAGTGTAGTTAGCAGTATTGTTTCATCAACCTGTAATTCAAATAGATGCTGCTGGTACCATAGTCTATAATTAAAATGCCATTGTATCATTTTAATGCCTTTAGCTCTCCCTTCCTAACCCTTTACAAGACAAGACTCACTAAATACCTTGCAGCAGTTAGAGGGTGTCACCTGTGTTTTCCAAACCTGTGGTTTATTTTCCCTCTTTTTACAACTTTTAATGGAGTGGTGTAAAGGAGGGAAGAAATCGGGAAGACCTAGAACGAAACTATTGTCAAAGGGATGGAAGAATCTTGAAGCCATGCTGAGCAGACAGAATAACAAAGTCGGAAGGGACCTTGGAGGTCTTCTAGTCCAACCTATACCCGTTTGGACAAATGGCTGCCCAGTCTCTTCTTAAAAACCTCCAGTGATGCAGCTCCCACAGCTTTTGGAAGCAAGCTGTTCCACTGGTTAATTGTTCCCCCTCTCAGGAATGTTCTCCTTAATTCTAGATTGGATCTATAATAATAATAATAATAATAATAATAATAATAATAATAATAATAATAATAATAATAATAATAATAATAATAAAAAGTTGGAAGGGACCTTGGAGTCATCTAGTCCAACCCCCTGCTCAGGCAGGAAACCCCTACACCAATTTTGGGCTCCATTGTGGTCGTAAGTCAAGGACTACCTGTTTCTTCCTGGATGCCTCCCATGACAGCAATCTGACCATCACCACCTTGCTGATTTAAGTCCTAACATTCAAATGTTTAAGATAACATGAATTCAGCTCTGCTTTATTCCGTTAAATCATCAACCAGAAATGTATTGACACCCTCCTGTAAAACGTACCAAAAGCTTGCTTGGCCGCTTAAATTCATTTTGAGGCTAAATCTACAACCCTGATTTAAAGCACAAAGTAAACAAAAATAATCGTCATCTTTCCAGTTAACAATACTTATTAAGAGCCCGTGAAGTATTAATACCACTTTACAATGCCTTAGTAAGGCCACACTTGGAATACTGCATCCAGTTTTGGTCCCCACGATGTAAGAAAGATGCTGAGACTCTAGAAAGAGTGCAGAGAAGAGCAACAAAGATGATCAGGGGACTGGAGGCTAAAACATACAAAGAACGGTTGCTGGAATTGGGTATGTCTAGTTTAATGAAGAGAAGGACGAGGGGGGACATGATAGCAGTCTTCCAATATCTCAGGGGCTGCCCCAAAGAAGAGGGAGTCAAGCTATTCTCCAAAGCACCAGAAGAAGGCAGGACAAGAAGCAACGGATGGAAACTCATCAAGGAGAGAAGCAACCTGGAACTAAGGAGAAACTTCCTGACAGTGAGAACAATTAACCAGTGGAACAACCTGCCTCCAGAAGCGGGGAATGCTCCAACACTGGAAGTTTTTAAGAAGAGACTGGACAGCCATTTGTCTGAAATGGTATAGGGTTCCTGCCTGAGCAGGGGGTTGGACTAGATGACCTCCAAGGTCCCTTCCAACTTTATTATTATTATTATTATTATTATTATTATTATTATTATTATTATTATTGATCATCGCACAGTCAGCCAGATGTTCAGACTGGATTTGGCATTTTGTCTACCTATTATTATTATTATTATTATTATTATTATTATTATTATTATTATTATTATTATTATAATACAGAACTAGTAAGAGAAATCTTCTGGCTTTGATAAATAAGAGCTCAAACCGAAGTAGCGTTGCCAATAAATAATTCCATTTACAGTCCCTGAGTAGCTGCATATAGCTGGTGTTATATATGTCACCCATTTAACACATTGGTGTTAAACGGGTGAGGATTGCTGCCATTTGTTGGTTTCCAATATTCTGTTCAATCGTTATCGCAGTCTGGGTTTCTGCCCCGCCCGCCTGCCCGCCCGCCGTAAATTTTAGTGCGTTTCATCAATTTGTCACCTTTCTTTCCTAGCTTAACGGAAAGAGCTCAGCTCTTGAAAAACGTCTTTAAGAAAAACCACGTCAACTTGTACCGCTCCGAGTCTTTGCAGCAGAATTTGCTTCGTAAGTATCGGAGGTGTGGAAGAAAGGCACCACAAAAGTCAAAAGGGCCACGAATAACAGCAAGGTCTCGTCAGAAATTTGGCGGCCCGCCGATTAGCTCATATATATTCTTCTAAAGTTTCATCTGCCTCCTGCAGTGTAAACTGATTTTCAGCTACGCTGGAAGACTTGGCAAAGCAAAAAAGCAAAGGGCAAACACATAAAAACAAATAAGCAGATGAATATTTTTTTAAAAAAAAAAATAATTCGATTTTAAAGAGAATTAATCTCGCAATATTTTCCCACTGGAGGTGTGGTCGGCCCCCATACTCCTGACCTTCCAACAGAGCCTAAACACCTGGTCCTGGGAGTGGCTGATGGGGCAGAGAGAAGATTCCCAACCCTCTTGGTTTTTGGTTTCCCGTTTCTCTTGGTTTTTGGTTTCCTGTTTCTCTTAATTTTTAAATTAACTTTTTTTTTTAATTTTCACCCATTCTATAAGCCACCCGGAATCACCGTAAGAATAAAATGGTCAGCATATAAATTTAATGAATTAATAAATAAAACCCCTTGACCTTTGTGAGCAGTTGGATAGCCTGTCGTGCCCAACAGATTTTAACTTGGACTAGATCTGAGCTAAAGAGGGTCAGATGACCTGGTCCTTTAATTCCTTCTTGGAATTGGGTATTTAAAAGGGTCTAATCTTTAATCACACTTGTTTTAATCACGTCACATTATCGACCAATGTTCTTCTGAGTTTCTGTTTGGAGACTCTGTATAGATGGCTCGCCAAATCTGTTATCCTTTCCTTCCTTATTCTGTGGCGGGTCCCTAGTGTTAGCCTGAACAAAAATGTTTCTCGGTACAGGTAGTCCTCGACTTACGGTTACAGTTGAGCCCAAGATTTTCTGCTGCAAAGTGAGCCAGCCGTTCAGTGAGTTTTTGCCCCATTTTACGACTTTTCTTGCCACACAATTGCTGAGCGAGTCCCTGCAATTGCTAAGTCGTTAAGCGAATCTGGCTTCCCCCGTTGACTTTGCTTGTCAGAAGGTCACACAAGGGGATCGCATCACACACACACACACACACACACACACACACGGGATACTGCGACCGTCATAAATACGAGTCAGTTGTGAATTTTGATCACCTGACCCTCCTGAGGAGGCAGGAAAAGTCGTAAGTGTGAAAAATGGGTCGCAGGTCACTCTTTTTTCCCCAGTGCCGTCGTAGCTTTGAACGGTCGCTAAACAAACCGTCGTAAGTCGAGGACTTACCCGTATTTCAGCTTTAAAGAGGGTTAGAAAGATCCCTGTTGCTTCTCGCGCCCGCTCGACTCTCTCTCTCTCTCTCTCTACTTCCAGACGGGTACGCTTTCTCGCAAGACGAAAACGGGATCGTCTCGCAGTCGGAAGTCATCAGAGCGTACGATACGACGAAGCAGAGGCCCGAGGAATGGTGAAGGAGAAAGTCCCCCGGCTTTCAGTATTTGCCATATTCCAGCCAAATTAATGCGTTATTTCCCGCGTCTGCCAACATGGTCCAGTAACAAGATTAGGGGGAGTTGTAGATTGGTTAAACTCTTGTTCCTTGAAAGTTCGCGTATTGAGTAGACGTAAGCACTGTGCAACTATACTCTTTAACACACCATCCCTCAGCATTTTCCAAAAACGACTCGGATTTTGTAAGCAGACACTGAGAATTAACCTGCAGCCTTTTCAAACAGCTTATTTACAGTAAAGATGAGTACTGTTCCTGGGTGTAGATACACAGAGAGAGAGAGAGAGAGAGAGAGGGAGGGGTAAATATTCAATATATGTTGAGATTGATCAACATAGGCTATACATTGAGAAGCCGAGCCTTTGCCAAGGCGTATAGGTGGCGAAATTAAATAATGAGCCTTTGATTTCCACAAGTGCTAAAGAACCATTTTAATTACCTTAATTCATGTGACAAAGAAAGATTGCAAAGCAAGATACTTCAGAAGGAATGAGCTTGTTTGCCAAAGAAATTCCATAGGTGTCATCCTAGTCCTCCTGTGTGTTAGCAACGGTGTCCGACGTCAGAATTGCATGTTTGATACTCTGTACTTGAAAAGTTTTACAATAATACGAAAACTGATAGGGTTTGGTTTCGATGCGTTTAATTTCGGATCGGTGGTTTTTTTTTCCTTTCACCTTTGGCCTTACAGATGCCTTTCTTTTTGCGTTCGCGCTCTCGTCACAGAATGTGTACATTCGACACACAGCGTTCGTTTTCTCTTTGTCAGGAGTGTGTGTCCTTGAGACTTGTTAACCCGCTTAAGAGTCCCAATGTGGTGACATTTGTCTGCGCGATTCATATGTTCCTTTGCCGCCCTCCCCATGCATGTCATCAGGAACTTTCATTTAAAAAAAAAATAAAATAAAAGCAATGGTTGCTTGTTGGGATTGGCAAAGAGAGAAGGATGGTGCCTTAACTAAGTTTCCTGTTTCCCAAACAGGCGTGAACATTGTCAGACGAGAAAGAGGCAACTGTAATTAGCGACTGTTCAGATGTGCATCCACCCCCTATGGCAGTGGTGGCGAACCTATGGCACGCGTGCCAGAGGCGGCACGCGGAGCCCTCTCTGTGGGCACGCGCCATCACCCCAGCACACGTGGTCTCTAAAAGTTCGCCATCACTGGCCTAAGGCCAGCCAGCCTGGAGCCGCCATTGCGGAGCCCACCATCCCACCCGCCAGAGACCCCCTGGATCTCCCACAGGTGTCCCTCCTCATAAGCAACGAGGTGGCCACGCCCCCCCGGCCATGCCCACCCAGTCTGCCATGACTACTGTAGCCACACCCATCCAATGGCCACGCCCACCCAGTCTGCCATGACTACTGCAGCCACACCCATCCAATGGCCATGCCCACCCAGTCTGCCACGCCCACTGTAGCTGCGCCCAAGTGGGCCACACCCACCCGGCACCCGGCGATACATAAGTGGGTTATGGGTTGCAGTTTGGGCACTCGGTCTCTAAAAGGTTCGCCATCACTGCCCTATGGTTACCCATCTATAGGCCCTATAAAGAGAAGCCAATCCAGAATTTTGTAATATTTACAGAAGTCAGAAACTGATTGTCCTTAGCGGGTTGGGGTGGAGGTGTGCTTGAAAATACAGATTTTTATTTACGGAGCATTTTATATATAAATTAGTTTACTAGAACATAATTTACCCTTGTTAGTCACGATAATCTGAAGAAAAAAAAAGGAATCAGTAATATCAGTTTAGTACTATACTACCGTATACGTTCAGTTTGCACTATAAATCAGTTTATTTGGGGTATTTAATAGGTTCTGTTTGTACATGCCCAAATTTGATTTAAATTAAAAGTATGCAAAGGTTTGAGGATTTAAAATTAACAAGGGTTTGTGTGTGTTTTAAATAGAAACATTTTCTAGCTAGTAACGTAAAACTTCCCTTCTCATTAACGGAAATGTTTTGAGTAAATGTTTTTAAATCTTGTCATTTTGTAAAATCAGAATGAAAAAGCCGATTCAATTGCAGTCGTTTTTCCACTATGCGTGTTAATAGCCATTTCAGTTTATCTATAATATATTTTGTATAGTCAGTTCCCTGTCTAACTTCTGTGACATGTGCAGTTAATTTAACTATAGGGAAGGAGAAAAGTTAACGATAAATTCAGAGTTTCTGGGTCATGTTTCCATTTTTAAAAACTGCTGTGTAATAGAAACACTATTAAATACTGCACATATGAAACATATATTTATGATTTAAGTATACAGTCTTTCATATTTATTTCATAATGGCACTCACAGTATAAAATTTCTCGGGCTAAGCGGAAAATAAACCAGTAATCCATAAAGCCTGTTACTGAAAAAGGACTTTTCAATCTTACAGCCTGAAATTGCCTTCAGGAAAGTTATTTCTGGCATAGATACATAATACATCAACGAGAGCCAAATAAATCGACCTATTGTGCACACAGACACCCCACAGATTCACATGGTCAGATTTACACAATTAAGAGCATCTCAAAACAAACAAAGAAACAAACAAACCCTGACTTATTGCTTCACATTAATTTATGGTGGCTTGTCCACCACCAAAGGTTCCTGAAGCAAATTATTAAAATAATAATAATAATAATTCTGTAGCATGCTTATAGTACAGTTTTTAGCGGCGTATATTCCTTTTAGACTCAATAAATAAATAAATAAAATCAGATAATAATCGAGCAAAACCTGAATTGCTTCCCATTGGTTATTTATGACTTAAGGGCAGAGGTGTCCAACTTTGGCAACGTGTAAGACTTGTGGACTCCAACTCCCAAAACGGGAATTCTGGGAGTTGAAGTCCACAAGCCTTAAACGTTGTCACGGTTAGAGACCGCTGATTCTAATGCAAGCTCTTGCGGACTCTTGACAGAGGGAATATTTAGCGCAGCCCGCCGTGGCAAAATGCACATAATCTGACATACAAATTGGGTCAGGGGTCAACCACTACTCCCTTCCCACCAGCATGAAAGGACCGTCTTGCATGCAACTGACCTAGAATAACGATCTGCATGCGGGAATTTATTTCTACTGCTGTCTTCTGATACGGATTGTCCTTGGTGAATCCCGGACGGAGGCACAAATCTTGCATATTGGCTAAAATTCAGGAAAGGGAACCTTCCCAAGTGGCCTAGCCTTACAAAAACGATAGACCCCCCCACCCGCTGCCCGTTATTGTACATTAGATTTTTTTCTCTCTCTCTTTTAAATACGCCGCTCTATTCAAGATCCCAGGCCTCTTTTTTTTTTTCCCCCACCTTCTTCCCATTTCCTAACCGTTCAGGAAAGACGACGGAAAAAATTTTCACACGTGCGACGCAATATTGGCCAAACAGACCTATTTATGTTTTGAGAGTGCGCGTTATAAAATGAAGAGGAGAATAATTTTGTCTGCCCTGCGCTGCCTTCAACGGTATAGAAAGGGTTGGATTGAAACACAAAATGAAATGTTCAGATTTGTAAGAAGATAAAACCCAAGTAAACTGGAACTGTTGAACAAGTCAGGATGTACAAGACATATCTAATTTGCAAGCCTGTACTTTTTGTTTAAAAGAGAAGCTTTCAAAGTGATTTATTACCCTATAAGGTAGAAATGCATACTATAATATAATGTATATTTAGGGATGTTGGTTGATACGCATAATTTATTCAACTAGGTTTTTGGTTTTTTTTTACATTTTGTTTCAAAAATTACACTTTTCTTCATTACTTAAATTAAGGAAATTGTACATTCTGTGTATATTTTGTACTGTGGAATATTTATGTTAAGGTTTTTTTAAAAAAAGAATCACCGTTGAAAGAATCTGGTACCATTCAGAAATCAAAAAGAATGTCTGTAACCGTGTGTTATTTTTAATTAAATGATTGTAAGAATGTGGTACGATTTAACCAGAAAAATCAACCAATTGGATACACTTTGTGAAGCCGTAAGTAGTCCTGTTTCCTTAGCTGAGGCTTACTTACAAAAATGAATTTTAATAAAATATAATAGTTTGAAAACCTTTTTAGTTGTATAACAATAGAGGAAGCGCTTCAAAAAAAACATAATACAATCTCATACGGGAAGACATCCTTTTTTTTAAATCAATTAATGCTAAACTCTTTACTTGCTTGACAATTGGACCATAGGATCTTTTATTTTTTTTCCCCCTACTGGTTCCTGTATTGTGGAAAAGCCGTTGTTTCAGTTACGTTTTAGTAATCTGTCTGCATGTGACTGTGTGAATCTGATCTGATGCATGCTTGTGCTGTAAAACTCATTATTTCTCTGTTAGCTGAAAGAGGCATCAAAATTTATGTTCGGTATGCAGAAGTGAAGCGTTGGTAAACAGCTAGATTGCCAACTTCATTTTGTTAGCATGGAATGGTCAACTCAGAAACAGCTACACGCCGAACGTATTCTAAAACAGAGGTCCCCAACCTATGGGCCGCAGCCCACGGAAATGGCTGGCGCTCCCTCCCCACTCGCGCTAGCGCCCGTGCCCCCGTTTGTGCATGTGCACGGGTGCGAATGGGGCCGCTAGTGCCAGGCGGGTGTCCGCGACCCATTTGCACATGCGCAAACAGGGCCACTAGTACTGGGCGGGTATATGTGGCCCATTTGCACATGCACAAACGGGGCCAGTAGCACCACGCCAGCGCATGTGGTGCCATTTGCATGTGTGCATGTGCGCTCTCTTTCCCTCCGGGCCTGGACCCTGGAAAGGTTGGAGGCCTCTGTTCTAAAATACGTTCAAGACCCATGAAACGGATCGAGTTAGTCGATAAATTAGGGTGAAAATAGACGGTGAATGTACGTATCTACTCGCTTCTTAAGTGGTTTCAGCACAGACTTGGCAGCCATTTAAAATTTTGTGATTGCAAAAACTGTGGCCCAGGTGTGTTAAAAGCTAAATCATGTTTCAGTGTGGTTGTTTTAACCTGTTCTACAATTTTAAAGCCATAATGCATTAACTTTGTTTTCTGCTGCAATTTTCATGAAGTGTTGATTAAAAAAAAAAAAAAAAAAAACCATAGGGAATTATATAATATTTAGGACTACTGCATTCGAGGTAAAGTAGGATTTTTTCCCACTCTCTTAAACCATTACTGCTGAAACTCCTGTGGAAATTGTGAAGCTGCATGAATGGAGAGAAAAAAAAAAATTTTTGATTCCGTGTTTATGGTAGTTTACTCAGGTTTCGTTTTAAATGGATGTTAAATGCACTGTTTTATAATGTTATTAAATTTTAATAATATATTCACTTCTATGCAGTGTTACATGTCATTGGCATTTGGTGAATGTGCATGTTCTGAACTGCAAATTTTAATTGTTTTGTCTTCTAATTGTTAAAAGAAATAAAACTTGCCATTAAGTATTCTCTGATATTTACAGTATCTGCACCTTAAATATATAACAGCGTCTTCGGAATTTATTTCAACGGTGTAGCCAACGGGTCTGAAATACGACGCGCCTTCCAGTACATCATGAAAGCTTATATGACTGTGACACATATATCCATTTTTAATCAAAATATGTCTCTGTAAACTTTAAGGCTAGTAGTTGGTTTGCATAATTCAAATTGTTAAGAGAGGGGAAAAAACCCAGCAATGAAAAACTGCATGCAAATGGCTAAATTGCCCGTTAATAATTTCCTTCTATAATTATACTTTGCAGATTCTTTTCTGTCAATATCAGGACATATTAAGGAGAGGGAGGAGAAAGCCAGAATAAGCAAATTTAAATCTCAACTGTTGTAGAGAAATGAAAGGATGCGTTTGTTCCAGAGTGATACAATTCCATCTAAAGGTAAATCAACGAAGTGAAAGCAGCCGTGGAAGAATTGAAAATTAT